TTCAATAGCCTCGCGGATCATCCTTGGAAGGAATCGGTGTTCTTTTGCGAGGATTTTCGGTTGATCAAATCTAATGTAGTGGTTGGGGCGGTCTAAAATATGATCACAAACTGCAGACTTCTTCAACCGTCGGTGCTTCACGTACGATTAATTACTGATTGTAAACTACCTTTGTTTTCTTGCCTAATTTTTAGTACATGTTTTTTTAAAAATGTCAACAAACTTCTCTGCCGCTCCCTAAGCGACTGGATGATATGGTGGCGAGAAACTATGGTTGATTTGATTTGATTTCCAATAATTTTTAAATTCTATATTGTAACCTCTAACAAATATAAATGTAGTAATATTTGTAGCTTGTAATTTTTCAATTAACATATTAATGAGCATATCTTTGTTATTTCGATTTGATAAGAATTGTTCATGAGTAACTGGTACAACCATTGTTTCATCGAAACAGACTTCATACGTTTTTGAAAGTGCAGCAGTTCTTCTCTGCTGCCCCATACGTTTCTACTGTAGTCTGAATATCCGTCAAATACAACAATTATTTTGGAACTGTAATGCCTTTGTAAATAATTCATGTATTTATCAAAAATAATAGAAAAAGTATCTTCTCTGCGCGATACCACATGATGAAGAAGAAATCCACCATCAATAATGAACGTGACATTATTTTCATTGAGAACAAAATCAATTGGGCTCATGTTGTCATACAATTACAATTTTGTTGTTTTTCTCATGCCATCATTATCAAATAGAGTTGTTGGATACGGACTTAATTTATATTGAAGATATTCTTCGAGATTACTTTCAAATTGTTTGCTCTCAGTAATTCTTTGGAAGAGTCTCTGCTACTGCTGTAACTAGCATCTACTGCAACTTCACAATCATTTATTTTTAAAGATTTGTTAACACTGGAATGCGGCATTAATTTTTCGGAACGTTTCAACTTTATTTCATTAAATGATAAGCTGGTGATCTCCTTCATAGATTCTAATCCAATTTCGTAAGGCTGTGGCAGTTAGTTTGCTCATTTCCAGCAATCCCAGAAGCTATCGATATTAACTGCTTAGTATTTGGAAAAGGATCATGAAGTCTAAACCAATCAAATAGTATATTTACGTCAGCATTGTCTTTTTTCACTCTTGAGTCTCTGGAATCTACGTGTTGCTCGGTCGACTCCAAGGATATATTACAGAACTTCTCCATTTCCTCACAAATAGTATATGTGGCGTACATAGCATATACCCATTTACACAAAACATCGGTTTTCCTTCTACCTCCTTCGGTTTTCATGGATTTCATGAGACTTTGTTCGATGACCATATCTGTCTGTCCATGTACCTGAATTATATTTTTCTGTTCGTTTTTGAGGAAGAGACTGACATTTTTTTACTCGTCTCATTTATCTGCGGTGTCCATGTCAGACAGGAGTATTTAGCCTTCTGTAAAATACTTATTTTTAAATTTTAAGTCTTTAATATGCCAAATCTCAGCATCTTTGCCGCATCATCTAATCGATATAAATATCATCATCTACCAGCTTGTAGACCAAAGGTGATTTTTTACCTACTATTCGACATTTGATATATTTAGCAGCCAGTTTTGCTGGAAAAAAATTTATCCTTCACGCTAATAGGAAAACACCGTCACACAGTTTGACATACTTCCAGCTCTTGATGCCTTCTCCTCAAATTTACAATTAACATTCTTATCATGAGACTTAACATTCTCATCATGAGATTTACTCATCTCAGTTCTCACTTTACTAAAAATGAGATTCAATTCCTCTAAATTTCGTGCATAATCATCCCGTGAAGGAAAACTTATTTCCTGCAAGTCCAACGGGGTAGGATCATACAATGAGTCCGAAACTACAGCTTCACGACCATGAACCAATAAAATGGAGAACAACTCGTAGGCTCACTAAGTGTGGTATTAATAAAAAACTTTATCTGTGACAAGTGTAAGTCCCATTCACGATGACTTTACTTAATCAATGTCGATATTGCTGCCACTATCGTTCTATTTTGTCTCTCAAAAGGATTAACCTGTGGACAATATCTCGGACACAAATGTATTTATGGAATGTTATATTAATGGAACAGGGCAGTAACCTCGTTTCCAGTAAACTGCGTACCATTATCAGATATAACTGTTTGAGAAATGTAGTTTGATTTTTAGTTTCTTTATTTGCTAGTAAAATATTTTGGTCTTGGTATCTTTTTTTTTTCACAAATGTGTTAGCTATTTAGCTGTTCTGAACAGGATGCAAATGTCCAGAAGATATATATATTATATAGTTAATGCTATTAATGCGTCCTTATACAATTTTAATAGATATATTAATTAATATATCGATTTTTAACAAAAAATAAATTCAATAATAGGAACAACATTTAGGCATTACAATTCAAAAACTCATTTATGGTGTAAAATGGTTTCTCTAACAGCCATCGTCATAACGATAATAATATCATGTTTCATAAATACTTCATTTTCTATGTACTTTGATACAACCTCACCTGTGGGCCTTCGCGGTGACACGGGACAGACTAAGTTGTTATACGTCTTGATGTCATAGTTAATCCCGGCTACCGTCAATTTTTTTTTTATGTAAAAAGTTTCAAACGAGCTGACGGATCACTCGATGTTAAGTGAATACCGCCGCCCATGAACATCTGCTACACCCGAGGCTTTTTGGAAATTGGGTTCCGGCTACCACACTCACCAGACGAAACGCGAAAGTATATTTCCACTTTACGTCGGACTTCTGTGAGGTCGTGGTACTTACCCGGACGAGCCTGCCCATTCGTGCAACAGCCGAGGCTGCTGCGTGGCTCTACCACCGTAAAAATTGTCAATTATTTTGTTTATTTTGTTTTCTTTTCTTTAGAGCTTATACTATCTTGAGGTCTGGCAGTGTTGGTGTTATTTTATAAATTATGGGATCCCAAGCAGATGATAAACTCCAACCATCTTCCCTATTGAAATTAGGATGTTTCTTTATTTCAATCCTTGGAAGGAATCGGTGTTCTTTTTCGAGGATTTACGGTTGATCAAATCTAATGAAGTGGTTGGGGTGGTCTAAAATATGATCACAAACTGCAGACTTCTTCAACGGTGGGTGCTTCATATCAGCTATGTGTTCTTTTATTTTGGTTTTAATTGATTTTTTTATTTGTCCTATATAAGAGAGACCACATTCGCAGTCAAACTTGGTATGAGATGGTAAAAGCAGATGGTAAAAATTGACTTACCTTCTTAGCTGTCTGGAAATATGTTTTAATTGAAGCACGCTTCAATATATAGCCACTCAGCAGGCACTCGCTCAACTGGGGCTGGTTTCACTTGGTCACTGTGACGCAGGCGTGGGATTTGAGCTTGTTGTCACGCATGATTTAATTGACATTGTGTAGCTCAGCAACCAAGTGTTCCTTGTGACAGATCCCTCGTGCTCTCTGTAACAAACATTTACTAACAGCAGCTAACTGTGAAGGTGATGGTGAGAATCACCATATAAATATTTATTTATATGTGTCTCCTTTCTATACACAGTATGGATCAAAATGTTGTCAAGATTTTGGATGATTAATACATCTAGAAAGGCTAAGGAGTTACATGTCTCTAATTCCATAGTGAACTTAATTTTGGTGTGTAAGGAATTGAGGTGGTTTAGAATTGCATTTACTTTGTCTGATGGTAAAATTGTGAAAGTATCATCTGCATACCGCTTGTAAAATCTACGTTGAACAGGAGCTGTTTGAAGGGCCTTCTCAAAGTCTTCCATAAATATGTCAGCAGCAATGGGAGATACTGGGTAGCCCATTGCTACACCATCCAACTATATGTAGAATTCTTCCTTCCACAATAGATAGCAAGATGTGAGGCAATGTTTGAGCAGTAATGCATATTCAATAGGCAAGCATGTAAATAAAGACTGTATGTCAAAGCTAAACATAGTTTCATTGTTAGCAAGATGTAGGTGGTTAATCTCACTGACAAAACGGTATGAATCTTTAGTATACGCCATTGTATATCTTCTGAGTGGTGAGTCGATCTGGCTGACAATTGGGCGTCATGGAGCATTGGTTTTGTGAATTTTTGGTAACCCTTACAATTTTAGGGGTTTTGCACAAGAAGGTATTATCGAATTGACGTCCAAACTCAATTTCTCGGAGTGTTTCTTTATGAGTTCCCTAGTTAATTTAAGCATTTTTGTTGTGGGGTCTGTTTTGACCTTCTTATATGTACTTTCATGCGACAAAAGTTCTGTAATTTTTAAATTGTGGTCTGTCTTATCCATAACAACCGTAGCGTTTCCTTTATCCGCGCGGAGGATCGCTTAATCTGTGTTGTTGCGTAGGTTGTTTAACACTTTAAGTTCACGTTTAGGGAGATTTAGTTTCGGCACTGAATTGCGACGCAACGTAGACGATATGTCTTGGCGTATGGCCTCCGAATCTTCCTTACAAATTTTATTTTTATACAAACAGCCCTATACACCGCAGATAAATCATGTGCGTGTGCGTATGCGCGTATATTATAACTTTTTTGTAAACGATTCACCAGAGAATTTTGTGCATAGTTTGTCTTTGTTTTAAAAACCGCAAACAGAGGTGTATGTCTCGTTCTACGTTTCGGAGTACAAACCAGTATCCAGTTCTCCAGTTCTACGGCACCAGACTCGAAGTCATTCATAACAAAGATTATAAAAAATAGCGAGTGAATATTATAAAAAACAAAATAAAGTTCGCAAAATATATGTTAGTAAATAATAGTAAATAAAATACAGAATTTTATTTACTTTATCCAAAAATAACATCTAGCAAGCTTGTATCCAATTACAGTTTTCTATAGAATGTTATTTATTAAAATGATCCATAAATGGTCGGATTTTATTGAGACGGTCTTCTTCACTGGATTCAGTAAAGTGTAGGCATCGTAAAATCAGTAGAAAACGATTTCGTGACATGAATTGTCCGAAGCATGGAATATTAAACAAATAGTGTCGTTTCCAATAATCGCTTAAACGGTTTAATCGAATTGTTCCCGTGTGAAGAAGGAATCCTAAAAATGTCAGCAGTTCTTCCTTCGTTAAATCTTTCTACTCTTATTGCGTTGGCGTTGGTCTCGAGAACTATAAGATCCAACAACTCGTCATCAATCAATAATCGGAATGCTTCGTAAGGATCGGTTGGAGGTGGCACTAAGAGTTCCGGTTCCTTAGTAAACTCTATGTTTTTCATGGAGCTTGGATCACTGCTAGAGGTGGTAGTGGCTCCTTGACCAGAGGGTGAGTTATTGGGTGATAGATAGTAATCACCTGGTAAGTCCGGAGTACTACTTCCAGATCTCCGATCAGCTAGAATTGATGGAGAGGCGTCAATACGTTCTGGCGAAAGGTTAGGGATGATCGCATCGGATCTTAGAAGAGATACGCTAGGTGTTGAACCGGTAGGGTTTAATAAACAGCTATCTGGTATATCCGGGAAAAAATCTCCATAGTCCTGTACGATATTCGGCGATGTAGGACGGCAGTCAATTTCATAATTGAATTCAAAGCTACCGTCTCCATCAAATTCTAGTTGTCGAGGCGCTGGTTTCGCTACTGAGGAACTATTTGGATCTGGTAACTTCGACTATTGTGCAGAATTATTACGCGTGGGGCCATCCCTAAATGTAGGTCTTAATCGCTTACATTGAATGATAGGCCTTCCATCTGACTCACATAAACCACGTTTTGATGCAGATGAACTTAAAGGTTGAGCTGGTGGTATACGGCTTGTCCTCTTTGGGGCAGATGACCTTGAAGGTTGAGTTGGTGGTACACGGCTGGTCGTCTTCTGCTTCAGTCTAGTATCAAATATACTAACATCACTGCCGCAACTAGACGAGTCCTCTGAACTTGAAGAGTCTTCATCAGCTCTTTGAGAATACACATCCTCATCACTATAGTCAGACTCATACTCATTACTATGCCGACGCTTTTTTCTAGAACTACTCGTAGATTTACTTCCAGACGGTCCAGCCTTACTGTCCATTTTAGTGCAAAAATAGTTTTGATACGATCGTGTGTACAAGTCACAATTACACTGTTAGAATGAAGTAATACGCGTTTTCGTAAGTTGAATATGTTGTCAGAGTGACCGCGTAAACCAACATAAACTCGCCTCAAACGCCGGCAGCTTATTGACGACTACTAAATGCACGGGCCGCTCGCTCATATCCGAGTGGGCGACACCGCTACTATGCGCCCCTCCCCACTCGGATCCGAGCGGTGAGCACTGAATGTGCTAATAGTGTTTTATTTAGAAGGGCCAACCCAAGAGAGACCAAACATTTACGCCATCTTGGGAAGAGAGCGAGAGAGTCCGAGAAAGCGAGACAGATATGCTGTTCAGGGTTACCACAGGTGGCAATTGAGCTGGCGTTTCACGTGATGTTAAGTGATAACCGCCGCCTATAGACATTTGTAACACTCATAGGGTTGCAGATACGTTGCCACGCTTTAATAGAGTGGGCTCCGGTTCAGTCAATCACCAGACGAAACGAAAAAGGACCTGAAGTCTGTGAGTCGCTTGTAAAGGGAACGGTTTTACCGTTCTCTTAGCTTTACTTCTTTCTTGGTATTCTTTTTCAATTTCGTTTTTTCTGGCGTGTCCGCCAATATCGCTGACAAATCATTGCTAACTGTTAGCTGGACAATGTGATCACTCAATGCTGGAAGATTATCCTCTGGAGTATTTGGATCATCTTGAATGGACGACGTTGCATTAGATCATTAGTTGGAATTTCAATGTTTACTTGTGGAGGTCGGTCAGTAACGGTCAGTATTAAATGACTTATACCGGTAAATGTAACTCCAGCAATCGTATTTCAATTGGCCACAGAAAAAGGAAATGCTTCTCTAACAATTTCAGGTCTGTAGTGGATCGTCACTATTTGACTAGAATGATTCCGCATCCAGTTGTCTGTTGCGGTGTTTATCATTTTGTTTAATTTTCCAAATGCAGACCTAACCACCGCTGTCTCATCCATATTCCAGATAGCTTTAAGCTCAAATTAATATCGGTCCATTACTTCAGCAAGATTATCAAAAACTTACATTATGTTCGTTGAAGCCGTGTCAAAAATAGTTAGATTAAGTAAACACCAACTTTAGGGCTTAGGGTCTGTACTTGCAACTTATATATAGTCATCACGAAGCAAGTTGCTGCTGGAAATTGTGTGCGCTTGAATCGGAATGGGTTGTTGCAGTATTTGCATAATATTCCCAATTTTACCTGTACCAGTTTTTGTGGTAGAGCCACGCAACAGACTTAGCTGTTGCACGAATAGGCAGGCCCGTCTGGGGAAGTACTACGACCTCACAGAAGTAGACGTGTTACACTTCTGGATTTCGTCTTGAAAGTGAGTTAGCCGGATCCCATTAATTTAAGGGACTGTAAATGGAACCTAAATGCTGTAGTAAGGTTTCTACATTATAGGAACACCGACTGAGAGTGATTTTATTCGCAGGAAGGCCACTTGCAGTAATTGGACTTAAAAACAATCGGGTAATTTGTGGCCTTGTATGTAACGACAGTGTGATAAGTAAATTAACTACTTCTGTTCATCAATTTCGGCAATTTTTTTCAATTATTGAAGTAGCTTGGACATTCCTTTGAGTGAGTATAACGTGTGCACGTAACCAAGAATTTTCCTGATTTTCGTTCGTTTTCTGAGGAAATGACTCTGCTATTATTAGTAGAGTCAATATTCGGATGAATAATTTGGTCAAATTGAAGGATGCCTTCTCCAATTTATAAGGTTGGTGAACAATAAACAAATAACAAGGAAAGCTCAGTCAGTCAAGACCTAAGAAGTACAAGCATTTTCTACAAACTTATCTTTTTTCATTGTACCTATGATTTGCAAGTTACCTTCTTATGTAGAAAGCGTAAAGGAATTAAATATTCCGAACAGATTTAGTATGGTAAATCTTTTTTGAAGGCAAGTAATATTGACATGATATTCGGCGCCGAAATATTCTATGAATTCATATTGCCAGTACAGATTAGGTGTAGGGCTGCCAACCTTAAAAAAGATGCGATTAGGTTGGATCGTGTCAGGTACAACCCATGTAGCTTCTAGCAGTAGCACAGTTAGATGCAATTTTGTTCAAACCAATAACACCCGAACTTTGGGGAGTACAGTAGTAGTAACACAGATAGGTTTCCAGATGATGATATTGCACAATGTGGAAGGTATTTCAAAGCCATTCACGAACACCTGATGGAAACTTTGTGGTGACGATCCTGTTACGGGAACCCGTAACTTCGTTAGGTCACTCTAAACCCGCTGTATATAAACGCTTCAAAATCTAGAAACCAAGTTGTTCTCGCGATCCTAATTATAAGGATAAATATGTCAAGTTTATGCAAGATTTTGAACAGTCAGGGCACATGATAAAACGTAATTCGAATGAGCCTTCCAACTACTTACCTCACCACGCTGTGATTAACTTAGAAAAAAAACCACACGCCTTAGAGTCGTGATCGACGATTCTTACAAAACCAGTTCAGGTAAGTCCCTTAATGATATACAGTATAAAGGTATAACGAATCAAGACGATTTGGTAAATATTAATGTGTTTTCGAAAACATAAATATGTTGTTAGTGCAGATATCGAAAAAATGTACCGTATAATTTTTGTAAACCCTAACCAACATAACTTACAATGTGTCTTATGGCGCGAGGACTCTATCCACCCGAGTCACACTTATACACTGACTACATTTGGTTTCGGTTTGAAGTGCGTGCCATACTTAGCTTCACGTTGCCTTATGCAGCTAGCAAACGAATTCCGTGATAGGTACCCGGAGGCAGCAATGACCATTTTACACAATTTCTACATCGATGATTTAGTACATAGCGGGGATGACGAGCGGTCGCTTCAACAGCTGTCCAGGTAGACCATATACTTCGGAGCGCGAACTTCAAACTTCGGAAATGTAAGTCGAATTCCGAGGTAATATCAGCCACGATAAGTAAGGCCGAGTTCACTGCTGATCTTTTGTCTATGGGCGTTCCAGCGGCCAAGCTGACTCACACCAACTGTGGTGGCAAGGTTATCACTACCTAGTGAAAAAAATTGGCCAAATCAATGCCAATTAAATTAGTTTCACAATGAGAATTTATTTCATGTGTGACTACTGAACCCCAATCAAATTCTTTTATGGAAAATTTATTCAAAAAATATTCGAAGTATGAAAAACTATTACAAGTTTTTGCATATGCACTTAGATTCATAAATAACATAAAGAACACAGGTGATAAATCGTTATCGATACTTTCACTTGGTAAGTTAAACCAATCACATGATAGACTCATTGCATTCGTTCAGATGGACTCATTTCCTAATGAGTATAACACTTGTATGTAGTATCATTCCAGATCCTCGTTACTATCGCTCTCGCTTTCTTGTAATACTCTTCGTTTAGCTTTTTCTAGAGCTTTTTCCTTCCTTTACCTTTTCCTTCATTATTGTTGTTTTCTTTTGCCTTGTTAGTAATGTCTTCGTTCTTCTTTGCTTTTTTCTTCGCGTGTTCTTCAGCTAATGCATTCTGGCGTATCAGTCAAAACAGCCGTATTTCTTATACGGCGCTTTGTAGTCGTCTGTAATCTTGGTGGTGCCTTTGGTGAAGGTTTTACGATTTCAGGGTTAAACACAGCTGAAACATTTGTTTTTTCTGGTGTTAATTGAAGTTCTTGTCCACTATTGGTCAAAACGGCAGTCTGAGAGGCATCACCCTGATCTATTGCCGATTGCTGAGGTTGTTCACCAAACCGACCCGATGTTGATGTTGACGGATACGGTTACAGGTTACAGCAGCACATTATTCTAAGGTGATATTTGAATATCGGATGGTCCTGGCTGGTCTTCTATTTTAAATACAACTGAATTACTTGAAGGCTGGAGGGTTTCGTCATTTGACACAATTTGAGATAAAGCAGCTTCTAACAGTGGCCGATTTGTCACGAAAGATGGTGCATAATCCTCCTCTGTTAATACGTCAGGATTAGGGACATATTCCAGTCGTTTTAAAATCGTTCATAATAGTTACAGTTGTCATGAGCGTTACCACAATACGATTTAAAAGGCCCATTGATGCCCATGATGATCCAGTGGCTGTAGCCTATCGTGCAGTGAGGTGGGAATGCTACTATGTTGATGTCTATCTGTGACGAGTGGTTGTCTAGTAATAGTAACTCTGGTCCTTTTGTGTGAGTGGGTTTCGTGAACTTGATAAAGTGGTCCATGTATGTAAGGAATTTAGTGGCGGTCATCCATCCTGACTTATACCCAGATTCAGGAGGCTCATCTCTTAAAAAACTTTGATTGGAAAACACAAACATTGGCGGAATTGTGTTTCTTGCGGCACTTACTGCTAACTCGACAGTCACTAAAGTCCCACGCTCAGCAGACACATAACACCGACCTGTTTTGTATCTTTTTGAGCTACTATCTTCTTGGGTTGTAATACTGACGGCCACGCAGCAGTCTCGGCTGTTGCACGAATGGGCAGGCTCCTCCGGGTAACGCTTCTCTGGTAGCTTCTGGTTTTCGTATGGACAATAATGGGTTCCTTTTTATGAGCCCAGTGAACCAATCCTCCCCAGCTTATCCATTCTTGTGCCATGTAGGGGGAATGTATGTAGGAATGTGTAAAATCTTTCTTAATATATCTGCATGCATATCATTTGTGTTTAAATACTCTATTTTAATCAAAACTATTATCAACCGCTGTTCTGACAAAATGAAATCTTACATAATACACTATGTTTCGTTAACAATTGTTCACTCTGTTTGTCATTATATAACAGTATAGGTGACTCATCTCTGCATTTCAATTCTGTTGAAATTGTGGACTTTTCAGAATAAAGATGATAATTGCTCAATTAGTTTATTAAATCAGATAAATCAACCTTAATCAAAGTTACATGTTGTGCCACGGACAATATAAAAAGTAAGTGGGTCTATGACATAAATCAGTGTTGCCAGGAGTACAGAGAGTAATATTTTTCATTCGTAACATTATTTGAATGAAGAGCATAACATTTACTAACACAAATTACAACACGCCTCCTTAAATTTATACTCTTCATATTTTTCATAAACAATACATATCAAAAGTTCTGTGTATAGATACTAAAACTATCTAAACCCTAATCTATTTCTCAAAAAATTGGTCTTATCTAAACTTTTAGTTAACATGTCTGTTAAGTTAAACTTTGAATCAATTTTTACAATATCAATAATGCCTTTTTCATAGTTTTCATTTACATAATGATACTGTACTTCAATATGCTTTGAATTCTTAGTAAAATTACCATGTTTAGCAATAGAAACGCTCCTGAATTATCTTCATACACTTCTATTGGTTTATCAAATCTTATATTGAACGACTCACTTAACAAGTTTCTAATAAAAAGTACTTCGGTTACTGCTTCTGGCATAGCAATGTATTCAGCAAAAGTTGAACACTTAGTTACTGTTGTTTATTTATGTGTTTTCCAAAAAAATAAGTTTCCTAATAATCTAATTACAAAACCTGTTGTAGATTTTCTATCTATATTATCTCGTGCATAATCTGAATCAACCATACAGTCCAATATTTCAGTATTTACATAATCATAGTAAGTTAACTTTAAATCTTTAGTCTTATACACATATTTTAAGCTTCTCATTGCATATTTGTAATGTGTTTGATTATAACAATTTTGAAATCGACTTAATTCGTTTCTTACAATATAGTGGCAAATACCAAGAATTTTTGTCACCTTAAAACTAGATTTAATAAAATTATTTAAGTCAAAATAAAAGAAAGCGTCACTATGACGGTGAGTTGTGTTATATATAGTCATGCTAAGACTATATATGTATTTATTTTGTTCCTCTGAAAGGAAAGAGGAATATGGAAATGAGCATATTATAAATTTGCACTTAGTTTTATATTGTAAGTTGAGTAATAATTCAATATTATTAACAATTTCTTTTTTCCTAACAGTTGAACTATCCCCATGAAAATATACATAGTAGTACAACAGTACTATTCTCATTTAAATTTAATGTCAATATTTTTTTTAATTTTGTTATGGAAACTGGCACCTGGTGAACATATATTACATACATTATTTACATGTTTGGAAAGTAAAGAACCAAAACCTTGTCCTATATTATCCGATACAATTATAACTTTATGTTTATTATTGGAGATATTGGATGATTTGACAACTGAATGTAATTTATTTTCATATTTATTATATGATGGCTGATTGCGTTTTTTCTGTATGACCAAGTCACTTCCCATGTCTGCAGATATATTCTAAGTGTTTAATTTATTTGGTGATTGTGTTTTGGAGCAACAACATGTATTTTTGCTTGTAATCGACCGCCCACCCTGAGAATATGTCTCTCATCTAAGTATAGTGTTAGAACTCATAATTTGCTTCCTTTAACCACGTTGCCTTTGTTTCCTAAGACTTTCTATTTCATTATCAAAATGATCTTTTTGACACGGTTTTATTACACTCTCTAATGTTTCTTTTAATTCCTCTCCCTTGATATAGCCTGTATGTCGCTTTGTCGAAGTTCGCCTTAACCCTAGGAAACGTTTACAATATGCGACTACTCGCAGTAGTCTAGTTAAGGACGAATATTTATTCCAGAGATTTTCTTGTATTGCTACACAATGAACTCGGACCTGTTCTAATTCCGTTACAATAGTGACGCTGTGGAGGAAAACCGTGCCATTCACCCATAGGCTACTTTTTAATAACTCTGTAGGATTCATACCGCGTGAAGCAATGCCAGCTGGCTTTTGAGCTGATCGCACGTGATACCATTGACTAGATTGCATTACAGTCAAGATTTGGAAACACGATTGGCAACAAACACCTTCCAGCGACTTAAGCTCAGCCACGCAAGAACCCCAGTATAATCTATCCAGGCGTACCAATCGGATTTATTTATATTCATCGCATGTCCTACTTCAATCATTAATTTGCTAAGAAGTGTAGCTGCACAGAGTTCTAATCTCGGTATGGATATCTGTTTGACGGGTGCCACTTTTGCTTTCGCCGAAAGAAGCGAAACCTTGACTCTGCCTGAAGAATCGACCACACGAAGATACACCACAGCCGCGTATGACGTTTGAGAAGCGTCAGAAAACCCATGTAATTGTACCTGAGTACTTGTTGGTGTTGAACCCAGCCATCTAGGAATTTTGAAACCAGATAAGTATTGAAAATTATCCCTATAATTACTCCATTGTAACTGTAATTACTCTGGAACTTCCTAATCCCAGTCAATCACCGCAAGCCATAGCTTCTGAATAAGTATTTTTGCTAAAACCACAGTAGGTGCTATCCAACCCAATGGATCAAATAATCGAAAAATGTCTGAAATAATAATTCTTTTTGTTACAAGTTTTCTGAATTCTTTCAAACTGACAACGACGTGGAAGACATCATTGCTTCGATTCCAGGTGAGTCCTAATATTTTAACAACTGCATCCATTTTTATTTGTAATTCTCCCGTTTCTCCTGTAGCTTTAGGTACCACTTGTAACGGGTGATATCATCACTTTGTCTAAATTGTTGTTTTTCCGAAGACTAGGCTGCATACTGTAAGTAGTTGCTTTGTTTTATTCATGCCAGTGGTTGTTTTGTTTACGTATTTCGTTCGCTCTTGTACAGTGCATGGCTAGAGGTTGAAATCAGAACACGTTCCTGGTCGTATTGTCTGTGTGATTTTTGTCTGGGAAACTCTGTGCTGGATTTATCAACCCTCGTGGTAAGATATCTTGTAATTTTCACTGGTTTCCTACTAAAATTGTAAAAGACTTGCATTGAGAATATATTTAGAAATTTCACATGAAGGTAGGTTGGGAATTTTATTGTCTCGTGTTTCTACGGTTGGTTTTTCGAATATCACAGGTGGATGCTGAAGGCATAGGTGGCTGGCAAGCTGGTCTGAGCTGCTGCTTGATTAAATTGTGTTTTTACCTCCAGTTGGTAAGTGTTTCACATATATAGTTGTCGGTAGATTCATATCCCTGCCTTTGTCTGTTCTACAATAAAGTGCAAATGCAGGGAATACAGTGGCAGGAGGTCTCCTACTTACCCCCCAACCGTGTGGCTGTACCCACTACACTTGGCCTAGCTTTCTCTGCTGGTTCTGAGCTGAACGATGACCTGTGCCCACAGGGCAAGTGTCTGCGGTGACATAGATTTTATTGTACACTACCCATTCTATTTATACAGGCCATTGCTGTTATATTATACGTAATACAATTTCCGTATCATAACAGTCGCTCGCAACTACTTTTAGTCCCAAAAAAGCTGCTTTAAGTTCCAATTAGTTAATGTGTAATAATTTTTCATCATCTTTCCAATAACCAAAAGACTCTTTTTTTACAAAATGCACCCCAACCGGTAGAAGAGGCATCAGAATAAATTTCTCTAACTACTCTTGAGTAACTACACTAATTAAATTTGATAATTTAAACTGTTCAAGTAATTTGGTGTACATCCAGGTATATTGTATGGCTGGGCATGCCGACACTAAAAGGCCAATTAATCTCGCAAATTCTCTTAATTTACACTTATTTTTGTTTCGTAATTGTTGAATATTATTTTTAATTTTTATTACTTTATCTGGGGGTAGTTTTACAGTCATTTTATGCGAGTCGAAGATGCCAATCAACCAAGTAATTTACATTGTGTATTCGAAATAAAGCAGCTCTTTTATTGATCGTTTAGTAAAAAACCTAAATTGGTTAGAATTTTTTTTCTCATTATTATGTTCCTTTCACATTCATTGTAATCTTTTCCGATACATAAAATATCATCTAAATAAATTACAGACATAAGATTATTACTTCTCAATCGTTTCATTACTGGTTTTAGCAACTTTGTAAAAACATATGGGGCAGTGCATAAACCAAAGGAAAGGCAATTAAATTCGTACAAAACATTATTGTATTTAAAACGCAAATTTTATTTTCTGTAGGATCCACATTAACAAAAATGTTAACTATCTTTTAAATGGATTGAAGCCATATAGCATTGTTGCGTTATTAATTTAATAGCTGTTCTATAATCCTCCATCTTAAAATGATTCACGTTTACAAACTTATTCAATAATTTTAAATTAAGTATAAAGCGTTTTTCAGCTTCGGCATTTGGCTTCGGAATTAGGAATATAGAGGATAGAAATTCGCCGGGTTCATGTGAACATATCGAAATCGCGTTTAAGACACTTTTATAAACACCAGTTTGTGTCG